TCACATGGCAGACTATTACTTCTCCCTGGGAGACACAATGAAACCAGAAACAGGGAAACTACTATTGTGACTCCAGGATAAGATTTCAACAGATTTCCTTTGCTAAGGAGGGTCACAGAGTGGGTTATACCAAAGACCAACAAACTCTGGTTTTGCTAACTGCCCTAAATATATGCAAGCTAGAATTACATAGTTTTCAGCCTTCTAAGCTGAGTTGTAAAGGTGTCTATTTTTAAATCTTATTTTAGATAAAACTTGTTCAGGTTCAGAACAGAATTATATGATACAGTTGTTGGGAACAGTTGGGGAATGGATTTGGCAAGCCAGGAAATCGCGGTCCTCTTCCTCTGAGACAAGTGTGAACTTGCAATCCACACTGAGACCAGAAGTGGTATGTTTATGAATGCCTCACCTTTCAGCTAGGATAGTTCTCTAACAAAGCAGTGCTTACTTCTGGGCCTTGATTCTTAACTACTTTGAAAACTGAAGGTACTCTGGATAAGGACAAAGATGACTAACACTAGCAGGGATTAGGGCTTCTTCCAGCTTGTGCCAACTGCCAGTATTCCCAAGTGACCAAAACAGCAGCAAGGAACTCCAGTGGCGTGGGGCAGCTTCCTTCCTTCCTGACGTATTCCCCATTCACTGAGTCAGAAAGACTACCTGTTCATTTCACTAGCTTCATATCTCCCCTTCATCCTCACCTTCTGCAGCAAGCTGCCTATGATTGTTTATCATGATTCTGTCTCCTTTAAAGACAACGTATGGTATATAGCAGACACAGCTTGAGAAAAATCTGGCCCTTTCTTTCACAGTCATTTATACTTCAGTAACTACAGTACATTATGCCTATCTAAATAACCCTCCTGTTTCGATCATGTGTCATGTTCTTCATTTGCCACTGTAAATTTTGTAGCATCATTGGCCATCATAACTTCTGCCAAGCTGCCTCCCTAAGGTAGCGATGCTTCAAGAGCGGCACAGTCCCCTGCACACACAACAGGTCAGACTCTGAAGCTATTCTCATTGTTCTGCAAGTGGATGACATTCCCATGACGTCTTTGAAAATGCTAGTATGTCAGCTGAGTTAGCAAAAGGTTTCAACCACTCTAACTGTGAATAGAAAGAACAGAGAGGAAAGAAGCTCTTCAGGTTATTTTCTTTTCACCAACTGCTGGGAGTGATTGCTACACAGTAAGAAAGGAATTTCAACACTTCTTACATCGTATTAGCGCAGATACTATGCTTTGCCTTTATTTATTGTTAATATTTTTTTCTTTAAATTTGTAATGCAATTCCAAATGTGGTTTGAACAAAATTACATGTAAAACAGCCAAAAGAAATTTGGCAAGATTGTATCCCCCCTTAGCTGCTGGGATCACTAAAAATAAAAGTTATAAGCAACTGAAAAAAAAAAAAAAGACTTGGAAGCTGGAATGTACTTCAGTTTTAGGAGAGCTGAATGATATTTAAAGTCCTTTCTAAACAGCATTTACTAATTTATTTCTGAAATATTTTTATTGAAGGCTAACAAATTAAGCCTTACAATTCTAGGGACTGTTTCAATAATGGTAACACTGTGTAATATCAACAAGCTATCAAGTCTATAAGTATAATTTTAAAAACGATATTGCACATCTCTGCAGACTAGTATCTATGAGCCTTGTTAACCCAGGCTTGCAGAAAACTCATTGGTCAAAGTTAAATGAGCAATGGAGATGGGAACTCAAGTCTACCACATCCCATTTGCTTCATTGAAATGAAAGACTTCAAGAGCCAACTGGAATCACTTAAACGATGAATAAACACATGCAATTGTTTTTAATCAAACTAGAAAATTAAATGCATAATCATGCACTAATACCACCTTTAGGCTGTACAATTAAAACTAAGGCAAAGGCTGACAATAATGTTTTCTGGTTATTTTGCCCATATTTTTAATTTCATATTCTTTTTAAAATATCCCATCCAACAGACTTTCGTACATACTGCAGAGTTTTCATAATCTAAAGCCTGAACAAGAAAAAATCAATTGGATTAATGTTTCTTTAAGAAACTTAATTTGACACACTGTATCTATGTAGTAACTTTCCAATGTAAAATATCCATTGGCATGAGTTAGAGACAGTTCCATTACTGAGAAGTGGGAAAAGTGCTCAATACGTACCAATAAAAAAGCAAGCAAATCAATGGAAGGGATAAAAGTTGTATATTTGTTTTGCAAGGTTTTTTTCTTAGTTCCTTTCCACCTTTTGAAACATGCATTTATGTAATAACTACAAGAGTTTTATCTGTCTGCAAAACAATTTTATATTGGGGTCTGCTCTAATACATGCACTATGTTGCTTATAAGGAATGAGGTTGATCTCCTAGCAAACCATACTTATTCTTCTCTTTCTTTCCAACAGGATTTTTTTTTCTTGTGTGGATCTGATGTTTGTTAAGATGACTGCAAACATCAGATTTTGAGAGACAGAAGTCCAAATTGGAAGAGAAATGTTTCTCTCTTTTGACACACTGTAAGGAAGGGAGCACAATTTTACATTATGATGCCTAAATAAAATTTGATATGCATTTAAAGACCATGTCTGAAAAGGCATTTAAATCCTTGAGGTCTAGCATCTTAGTAAAAGACATGGAATTGCCACCATGGCACAGCTATTGAGAGAGCAAGTATCTATTAACTCTTCCAGAATGAGTGACATGAATAATGCAACAAGACGCCTGGAAAATAATTCTGGAATTCAAATAGTAGTTCCCAGAGCTTTACTGAGGCAAGACTAAGCTGTGGTAGTGTTGGGGAGAGGTAACAAAGACCTTCTTCCCGTGATAGTTAGTAGTAGAACATCAGCCTCTGGCTCTGTGGCTAAATTTTGATCTGCAGAGTAATGGCAAAACCAATGCATTGAGCATAGACACACAGAAGAATGCTACTTAGCCTACCTAAGCTCACCAAAGAATAAACACTGTTCTAAAGAGGAAGAAATAAAATTGAGGAGGAGTGGTACAGCACAGACAGTATTTGCTGCCAGGTAACTTCTGTATTACCTTTTTACAGGATGAAGCTACTCCTGTATATAAGTGCAGATCTTTCCAAAGGTTAAAGCCAGTGCAAGAAGGATTTTTGTACTATGATGTTCAGACAACATCAACCTCTGTGGAAGACACTAAAACCCATGGAAATGTAAAAATGTGAATAGTCACGTCAAATTACAACCTCTGTCACTGAAAAAGGGCAAAGATTCAGTTCTTTGCTTTCAGTTGAAACTGCAGGTAACAGAGAAATCAGGACCTATCAGGTCATCATATAGTGGGTATAGTTATTTTCATGCATTTTAAAAATATTTAATGCGAAGTTATTAAATCCCTTTTTTTTGGTGTCCATGATGAAACAAGACTGATTTAATATTTACAAGAACATTTAGATAACAAAGAATATTTATCGATTCATGGACAAATATTACAGCGCTATTGAAAGGTGTGAACATCTGCATACATATGTAAGATTTCAATCTAAATCTCAAGTTTGTTGCACCCTCTAGACTGAAGGATAAAATAAATAGCCTCATAGTGATCCCAAGAAAACTCTTGAGCAGTGCTGCTAGTATTGGCAAAATCATCTTAAAACAAAATGGTGTGCATCCTCCCAGAAAAGCCAATTTCACTTTTCCATACCACCTTTGGCTAATCTTTTGAATGTGCTTTTTAAAATGTTCAGACACAAACTCAGCTCCCCAGAGGCAACCAATGAAGCAACAGGCTATTGAACAGGCCATCAAAAAGCAAACAAATTCTTAAATTATTGTGTCATATGTTTTGCAATCTGAGGTCTTTATTGATAGGAACATCAATAAGTGAATGTACTATCTATGTTTAAATAGAGTCAATGGTTCTTTTAAAACATACTGCATAAATCCATGAAACATGCATAGTTTGTTTATTTATTATCGTGTAAAATGAACCTTTGAGAAAAAAGTGAGGCAACAACCAGGAATG